CAAACCTATGTCAACCGTGCATGAAACATTTTTACAAAATTAGGACAATAAACACCCCAAATTACATATATTGCAGCACTTCCATTAAATACAAGAGTTAGCAGATTACTAACAGTGACACCAAGGGTAGAAACACGGCTAGGAGTCCTTTTTTTTTTTTTTTTTTTTTTTTTTTTTTTTTTTTTTTTTTTTTTTTTTTTTTGTCTTTTCTCTTTCCCTTCCTCTCCCTCCTTCTCTCTCTATCTCTTCACTTTTTTATTATTATTATTATTATTTCATTGCGGAGGGAGGACGGGGGGGTGGAGTGGGAGGGAAGGGAGGTCTAGGAAGGGAAAAAAAATAATTAAAAACGCAACTAGAAGCCTGAATTTTTTTTTTCTGGACACGACAGATCACTGGGAATACGAGTCCATGGCATTGGTGGCCCAAACTTTCTGCTGTTGCCGCTGCTGTAGAGGGCTTGTCCCACCAACGGGCAGGTTTTCCCTGTCCTCGCAACCAGCCCACACCCCCCTCATCCTCTCGGCTCTCACACACACTCACTCACTCCCTAATTTTTTTTTTTTTAAATTTTTCTTTTTTCCTGTGTGTGTTTTAAATAATACTTTCACTCCGCCGTTTTCTCCTCCTCCTCCTCCGCGCTGAGTTGCGAGGAGTTGAGCAATTTATTCTCTTTTTTCCACTTCATCCTGCGGTTCTGGAACCAAATTTTGATCTGCCGCTCGGTCAGGCAGAGGGAATGGGCGATCTCGATGCGCCGGCGCCGGGTCAGGTAGCGGTTGAAGTGGAATTCCTTCTCCAGCTCCAGAGTCTGGTAGCGGGTGTAGGTCTGGCGGCCTCGACGGCCGCTGGGCCCGAAGGAAGAACCTGGGACACCCGCAAAAAAAGATAGGAAACAAATAGGAGACACGTAGGAAACAAATAGAGGGGGAAATGGGGGGGAAAGGAGGGGAATAAAGGACACGGGAGAGGAAAAAAAAAAAGGGGAGCCCCGAGGTTCAGTGGAGCGCGGAGATGCCGGCTCAGCAGCCCCGCACAGGGCTGTGTGGCCGCTCCCCTGCCCTCCAAAGGCTCTGGCCAACTGCAGCTGGAGCCTCTCGCTTGGGAAACCCAGAGAGATTCCCTGGCCGGGCCGGAGCCGCGGAGGATCCGCGGCCGCGCAGGGGGGTTAATGCTGGGCTGGCCCGGCCGAGCAGGGCTGGGGAGACAGGGCCAGATCTATCTTATTCCGGCATGAAAAATCGCAAGGTGTTCTCAGCACCCCCCCTCGCCCGCCCTCGCTATTTTCCACCCTGCCGGCAACTGTAATAGATCTGAGCATTTAAGCAATAATGAAGTGGATCGATCTGCCCAAACTCTGCATTAAAGAGGACACAACACTTCATGTCCCTGCGCTAATGGACATCAATTTGGAACTTAAAAGGCAACAAATGCATCTAAACATGGGAAGGAGGGTAGCGAACGTCTATTATTTTTCTTTCTCCCCCCACCTTGTTGTTTTGTTTTTTCTTTCTTTTTTTTTCTTTTTTTTTTTTCCTTTTAATTCTGATTGAGGAAACAGCACTTAAAGAAGTCATATATCACCAGGGGAAAAAAAGAATCCTCCCCAGGCAGACTTTTCATTATGTGCGAATTTCATTAAAAATGTAACCCTCTCCCTTCATGTATTTAAACACTTCTATATTATTTAACTCCAGATCGGGTAGCCAGCGAGAGAGGGAGCTGCGTGGGGGTGTGGGTCCGTGTGTGTGTGTAAAGTCATCCAGATCTGATTTAGAAAAGATATCTCCCTGTGCGTGTGGGGGAAAGACAGAGACAAATCGTTGTAGCTGAGTGACACGCAAACTGGAATGTGGAAAAGAGGGGAAAAAAAAGGGGGGGGGGAAGGAAGAGAAATACTGTATTGGGATTTAAATATGGGGCAAAGTTTTTAGCTCGGGGGGGTTGCTGGGAGAAAATGCTTCAGCGGTGGGAAGTTTTGGTGCGTGTCAGGAGCAAGTTGGAGCCTCTCGTGTCGCCCAAGTTCCCCTCTGGAAGTTTGGGCTCTAAAGTGAACCTTATTCCTGCTTCCCTCGCTCGCTCGCGCTCTCTCTCTCTCTGGCGGTTAACAAATAAGAAAGGGGGGGAGGAGATTGATGTATTTATTTCTGTAAAAGAGTAAACTCACTATTGCAAGAGTTCATCCGCTGCATCCAGGGGTAAACCGGGGCGGAACACTTTTGCTCCTCGCTCTCTCCGAACACAGTTTTGCTCTGCGCGCAGTCCGACTTGCGCGGCTCGGGGGCGAAGGGCACCTCGTCCAGGCTGGGGGGGGCGCACGCAGGGTCCTTCTCCCTGAAAAAGCCGCCGGCCCCATAGTCACAGGCGGAGCCGCGGCTGTAGGCTCCGTTGCTTTGCTGGTAGTAGGGAGAGGAGGAATAGCCCTTCTCCTGGACGCCCGTGGCTCCATAGGTGCTGGGGTAGTGCCTCAAAGGATCCGCATAGCCCGAGGGATATAGCGGGATCTGTCCCAGGAAGGGCTCCTGCCCCGCCGCCAGACTCACCGGGAAGGTCGAGTTGACAAAATAAGAACTCATTGGAAGGAGCCTCGCCGTCCTTTCCCGGCTTTATGATTTGTTGTGTTTTATAGTCCAAGTGGTTTAGCTATTAGTAGTATATCGGAGATTGGGTTTTAGCTGAAGGGAGATGGCGTGGTGCCAGCGAGGGACACAAGGAAATACAACCATCTGATCATGGGCTGACCAATAGCAGGCGCCTGAGGTTGCAAAATAGCACCCATGAGGAGCTGAGATTGCACCAGGGACCCTAAGAACAAACCATCCACCCCCTTTTCCCTCCCTTTTAAACAACAGAAATGCACCCCCTTAACCAAATATATAATATCTGCCGAAAGAAACATTCCCGGCGCGCTCGGAGCTTCATAAATAAATAAACGTGTGTTCCCCCCCTCCCTTCCTCCCTCCCCCGGAGCTCAGCGCGGGGGTGTGCGAGCGCCCGTCTGCGCGCCTATATATATTTACACATATAGAACGCGGACAAATACCCGCTGTCAGTGGGGGGGAGTGAGGGGGGAGAGTTAATCATTTGCATTCGGAAAACTTAAAACCCCTCGTGTTTGCAAATCGTCCTAAAATGTCCGGGTACTTCACTAGAGTTAAATAAAACCAGGGAGGGGGGGAGGTGGGAGGGAAAAAAAAAAAAGAAATAAAAAGTTTTTTGTGAGAACTTTGCAAGGACGCGATCCCGCCGGGTTGATTAAGTTAGATTTGCTATATCAGAAAAAATCGGTTTTGACAACTTATTTCGGTTGGTGCTCGTCTAATTACCATAGATTAGCACTCCCTGCTCAGGAAAGCTGCGCTCGATTGAACCCAACCACCCCTTTGCATCTAGTGCATCTTTCCCCTCTCTCCTTTCTGCAAAAGCTCCGTATTCGGAAGATAAATGGAAAATCGAAGTATTTCCCTGATCCTTTGCTAAATCCCGATCTCCTCCGGTGTCCGGCACCGCATTGTGCCCTCTTGCGTTTTTTTGTTAATACCAAATCTATGCCCGACCTTTTATGGCTAAAAAAAGAGCCTTGGGTTACGATCAAAAGCTGAGTTTATTGATTGCTACCGATCAGGATGTAGGGGGGGTTTCTGGCGAGGGCAAAGCTGGGCTGTGAGGGTGCCCCGGAGGTGTGCAAGGTTCACATCCCCCGCTTGGAGCCCGTCCCCACCTCAAAACACCTATTTCTGCAAAGTTCCAAGGCTGGAGAGGGTAACACCGAAAGTCTCGAGCAATTCCCCGTCACCCTAAAAGCTCCACTTGGCTCTGGGCTTGCTCGGGGTTTTTGCCTCTCCCGGTTTACCCCGATTCGCTGGCCAGAGATGGGCTTTGCTCTACCTGTGCATCCCCCCCTTCAGCTCCTCGGTCGCTCAAGGTAGAGCTGCAGATCTGCTCGCCGCCTGCTTTATTTGCAAGTGGGAGAATCAAAGTCATCGCACAGGAAAACAAAACAAATAAAATTAAAAAAAACCACCACCACCTACATCAACCCCAGGACCGTGCCCCGATCATTCCCGTTTTATCAAGGATTTGTT